CGGTGCCGTCGAGGCGTTTGAACCAATAAACACATTCGGTCTCCAGAAGCCCAATAATTTTCAACATTGGGTACACTGACAATATGACCTTAAATCAATTTACTTTCTGATAATAAGTGGATCTCTTTTACTGATAAGGAACGGTTTTTTTTTAAACTATTCTTTTTTATGGCGAACAGCAGCCGAGAAAGCAAGTTAGACGGAAACATTCATAGCAATTCTGGTATTCTTTTTATCGCAAAACCACTTTGTGGTGAGTACTAGAGAGGATCTACTTTTTTTCTATTTCCATTTTATGCATTTTATGTTGTGACAAATTCTGATTTCCGAGACCCTGTCTGTGCGTGCTTGTGTTCCGAGCGCACTTTATCCAAGAATCTGCTTTCAAGTACCAGAGGAGCTGGAAAGCTGAGATTGCAACTCCTCACCGGCGTGTGATCACGCAAGCTTAAATCTAGCGTCCTCACGCGCCCACATTTCAAACAAGTTTTTTCTACTTGAGAGTTTCCATCCTCATGGCCATTCGCAGTTTTTTTGGTGGTTCGAGCTGTTTTTCCAAGCAATGAACCACACCAAAAATGAATGAATCTCAGGAATCTGCGCAAATACCAGCTGTGAATATCACCAGCTGGCAAACATTTATAAGAGAAGTACCGGGACGTATTTTAACACTCGGCAGAGATTCTCCATCACTCCATTATTCCTGACGGTCGGTCAGGATACGAAGATATCCTTTTTGCTGAGAATGTGATAGCGGGTGGGATACTTAGTGAGCGGTGGCCAGACAAACAAAGTATACTATTTCTCATTACGAACTAATTTTATGCTGATTTCTGAACACGCATTTATTTCCCTTATGCAGGTCATGTTACAACTGTTGCAGCACAAAACGCATATTGTTGAGATCTTGCCGTTGTGTTTTTGTGTGTGTTCGGGGCGCATTTTTTTCGGGGGTTTCAACTCAGGGACCAGAGACCCCGGGAAGTTGAAATTTTGAAGGGAACTACCTACATGTGATTTTATAGACAAAAATTCAGCATTTGCGTGCGTCTAGGTTTTACGCAGGTTACATGAAAGTTTTAGCGCAAAAATTCTTAATTTGGGAACCAGAAAAGCTAAGAACTTGAAATTTAAGGAGAATATCCTCTACCCGCAAATGACCCCAACCAGCTCAAATTTAGCCCCATCGTACGCCTAGTTCCTACGCAGAAATAAGTCAAATTTTTGACAAAAAGTAACTCGAGAGCCACGAAAGTTAGGAAGCTGAAATTTCGAAATAGCGTTCCAGTCCTCGCGCACGTCTAATTCTTAGTTACGAATATGCAAAAGTTTTAGCACAAAAATTTTTGTCTTGGAAACCAGAAAGGCTGGGAAGCTGGAATTTTAGGAACACAGGAACCACAAAAGTTTCTGTACTTATCAAACAGTCGTGTAGCGGACACCCTTAACAGCAAGATTTCCTTGAACAGAGTTACACAAGCGTCAACTGATCAGGGTTACACAAAACTCATGATCGCACCAATTACCCTGGTGCGCGCCGCTGCTTATTTGTATTAGGAAAGTGTACTTGCTCGCACTGGGCTAAATTGCTCTGCAGTACGATTTAGTATGAATTTATCAAACAGATGAATTTGGGCTGTTTGATCAGAACAGTATCGTTGCTAACCTGCTCGATGCGCTAGCCAAGAAGAGTTTAAGAGAGCGTGTTCATCAGACAAATACCCTAACTTTGCGCATTGTACCTCAAAATTTCGTTTCATGAGTTGGTTGAGAAAAGTACCGAAAAGCTCAAATATTTTGGTTTCATGAGGAGTACGACTATGGCAGAGAAAGCTGCTTGCAAAATGAACGAGGCACACTCAAAAGCGATAAGGCGCAAAGATTTCAAACACAAGAAAATCTGACCGTCCTGAGTTGTGCTTCCTGATAAGTACCTGAGCCCGTCCATGGCTGTCTCGGCTGTATCATGGAGGTTCACCGCTACAGTAATCTTGTAAAGTGACTGCATATTTTGGAAGCAAAAAACACCTTTTCAATGTTGATGATCGGCTGTTCGGTTGCTAACCGATAGACTTTAAAACGCTGATTATGCGCTTGCGTACTGTCAAGCAGCACCTGCAAAATTGCCTTCAGTGAGAGCATGATGTTCTGGAAATGAGAAATCAAAAAAAAAAAAAAAAGAAAAAAAACAAGGCAGGGGAGATTCCTGGATACACGTGCAAGTATTCTTGAATGAATAAAAAAAAAGTGAAGTTTTTGTGTTTAACGATAAAAAAAAAAACTTCGATTTTGCACAAACTGAATAAAACCTCATAATACATGGTACGTTATGCTAGGCATAAAACAGTGCCGTCACCGATCAGCGCAGACACACACTGGTAGCGTTTTTTTACGGTTGCATCAGCACATACGAGCTTACGCAGGGTGGCTGTGATCGTACGAATCATTTACTGCTCCTAAACTAGTAATCTGGGAATTGGCTTTTCTTCCATTTAATTTTTTAGTAACTTTACCCCAATTTTTAACTGTTCAGTTTAATTTTAGCTAATTGAATGTCAAAGTTTTGATTCTGCAGGTTCTATGCTAACTCAGTATGTAGTACTCGTATAGTTCACCTACATAATTCTTCCCACCAGGTTCGCGTGAAAAGTGTTCTCCAAAAAAAAGGCTCAGATGGTACCCTCTAAATTTTTGCGGATTGCAAAAAGAAATTTTTTGCGGAGTACGTCCACACCTACTGAAAGATTTGCAGGCTAAAAAATCTAGTTTTGCGCATTTTCAAATCAAGGTGAGCTGTTTAGCTCACCTTGATTTGAAGATCCGCAAAACTCCCTTCTTCTACTCTTTCCAGAAGCTAATGACTGTCACGGAAACTGTGCTGTGTAGGTTACTACCCTTTCTAAAGGTTCTTCCAGACATTACTGCTGGGGATTTTGCTGTTTCAGTTTCCTTCACATATGGTAAAATGCTACAGCGCTACATGGAGTGTAAATTCTTACAACTGTTTTTTTCCAAGGTAAAGGCACTTTTTAGGTGTTAGCTTTCCAGGTGCGTGAATCTCAATACTTCCAATTTCGAGGACGTAAGGAGGAAGAGGGTGAGTCCAAACAGTATGTACAATAGTAAGTTCAAACAATAAAGTCCAAGCAATAGAAAGGGTAGTAACCTACACAGTACACATTGTGGATACAAGGTTTTTGTGGAGGTCTACGAAGGCATACACTGCCCAACAGAAACAGCGCGAGACCGGTTTTTTAACAAAAGTCCATTTTATGCCACCGCAAAGATAAGCTGATCACCTGATATCAGTTACCTTGTAAATAGTGGTGTTGAAGGGA